TGTGCTTACTGATAGATACATATGTACAATATATGTACATATATACATATGCATGCACATACACTCCAATTAAGTCCTATTTTAATTGTTTTGCGGGAGTTGGATATTTTCAAAGCAATATGGGGGGTCCTTTTTAAAAGGAAATTTCAAATATGTTTTTATTGATTTTAGAAAGAAGAGAGAGGGAGAGGGAAACATTGATGATGGAGAACCACCGATCAGTCGCCTTCTGCATGCCCCTTACTGGGGGTCAATCAAGCCCGAAACCTGGGCATGTGCCTTGACCCAAATCAAATCCGGTGACCTCTGGGTGCATGGGATGACACTCAACCAACTAAGTCCACCGGCCAGGGCTGGTGGTCTTTTTAAAAGCTATTTTGTACATTGAGAGATTCATGGATTTACTTTGCTTAAAGAAAGGCTCACTTGCAGCAAAACCACTGGGTTGGGGCAGCTGAAAATGACGGTTCAGAAGTGGGGCTCCCACTCACCAAGAGGACAAAAGGAACAGAAAGATCCTGACCAGACTAATATTTTGACCTCACAAGTATGTCAGTAGAGAGGAAGAGGTGGCCAGCTGCACAGCCCCCTCGTGTGGCCGTGCTGGGAAGTGCATCAGCTACCTGGCCAGAAAATAATATCAACAGCCTACCAACCCTAAAACAATTACTACTGATGATTCAAGTAGAACAGAACATGTTTCTCTTAAGTTAGATACCAATTACTGAAATTTAAAAAAATCTAGCACTAGCATAAGCGAATTCAGCACTAAAAAAGATCAAACGCGCTAAAAAGTTAAACCCTATGTAAAGAAAAAATAAAGTTAAGGCAAATTTTATCTATATAGTATCTTCTTTTCTAAAAATTATGCAGAAGTGCTCAAGTAACATTTCATTGTACATTTAATAATGACACATCTTTCTAATGAACAAAATCTCTAACCCTGGGTTTCAATATGATATAACCACTATTTTTAAAGTACGTGAGGAAAAAAATTAAACCCACAAACCAGAATGAAACTGAGATCTAGGAGGGATTCAGTCACTTATCCATGTGTGCAGAGCCAACTGTTGGCAGATGAAAGGTTCTCCAACTTCCACTTCCAGTCGTGTGCTCTTTCTATTGGAACAGTGATTCTCAACTGTTGCTGTGTGTGAGAATCGCCTGGGGAGCTTTTCTTTAAACAGCTTTATTGAGGTATAATTGACATGCAATAAATTGCACACACTTAAAGTGTACAGTCTGATAAATTGTAACATCTATACACGCCTATGCTATCATTTCCACAATCAAATTGTGAATATGCCCATCACCCCCAAACATCTCCTCATGCCCCTTTCTAAACTCTCCCTCCTCCTCCTCCCCACACCGCCCATTACCTGGGGGACTTTAAAAAACTACAGATGCCTGGCACCACACCTGCAGAGATTCAAATCAGTTGGTTCAGGGTAAGGGCCAGGCATCAAGACTTTTTAAAGTTCCGCAGTTGGTTTTAATGTGCAACTAGGGTTGAGAATCACTGTATTACACATTCCTACTAATCTCTGCAGAATTGAATCTTCTGTATTAGTCTCAAGACCTAATTGTCAATGTCACCTGTGGAGCCTTAAAAATATAGACATGCCGAAGCCTCACAGGATAAAGTTTATCATTCAGCAGGTCAAGGGGAGGGGCAGAGATTTGATTTTTTTTAAATACTCACTTGAGGATACTTTCCCATTGACTTTTAGAGCAAGTGAAAGAGAGAAGGAAAGACAGAGAGAAACATCAATGTGAAAGAAACACATCGATTGGTTGCCTCCTGCACGCGCCCCAAACAGGGCTCAGGCCGGGGTGGAGCCCGCAACTGAAGTACGTGCCCTTGACCAGAATCAAACCCAGGACCCTTCAGTCTGCAGGCCAACACTCTTTCCACTGACCCAAACTGGCAAGGGATTTTTTTTCTTTTCTTTTTATTCCTTAAAAAAATTTTTTAAAGAAACTGTGAGCCCTAACCGGTTTGGCTCAGTGGATAGAGCGTCGGCCTGTAGACTGAAGGGTCCCAGGTTCGATTCTGGTCAAGAGCATGTACATTGGTTGCGGGTCCATCCCCAGTGGGGGTGTGCAGGAGGCAGCTGATCAATGTTTCTCTCTTATCGATGTTTCTGACTCTCTATCCCTCTCCCTTCCTCTCTGTAAAAAATCAATAAAATATATTTTTTTTAAAAAAGAAATTGTGAGAGATTCATACAATAGGACACTATATGTACACTAATCAAAATGAACAAGTTCTACCTACCTGCAGTAACATGGATAACTCTTAGTACTGAGGTAAAGAAGCCAGAACAAAAGAATATGTTTTGAACAATTCCATTTATATAAAGGTTTTTTGAAAAATAGGCAAAACTAAATTACACTGTTTAGAGATCCGTACGTCGTGGTAAAACTATTTTCTTCTTTAAAAGAAGAGATAAAAGTTAAGATAGTGGTTTCAGGAGGAGGGAGTTGTGATTTGGAAGTGGCATCTGGGGTTCTGACACTGTTTTATTTCCTGAACTGAGAGGGGTTGCATAAGTATCATCTTTACAATATTTTATTAAGAGAACACATTTATGCTGAATTCTAACTACTAGAACAGCTAAACCAGAATGTCTCATTTCCTCAGAAATGTGAGTCTCATGAAGCCGAATGCTTTTTGTACATTATTCAATAACGCTAATGATGAAGATGATGGATGAATCTGCATCTGAAGAACTATTTTTACAGATAATTTCAAAAGTGAGCCTTTAGTTCATTTAACAATGCAATCCACATAAAATAACAATGATATAGCTGGTCAATTAATTGCAATAAAGGGGGTAATGGGAGATACCTGTAATACTATCAACAATAAAAATATATTTAAAAAAGTAATTGCAATTAGTACTGACATCTAATAAGCAGATGAGTAAAACAGACACAAAAGAACACAGCAACTCTTTGTAAGAGCTAGGATTAAAACACCTCTAATCTGAGTGGCCACAAACAAAAATGCTGCCACAGATGGTGCATAATTATTGATTTGAAATAATTCAAGGTTCAAATGATTAGAATATATCACCTTTCAAAACTCAATTCAATTCAATATTCAGGGTGACCCTACTACAAAAGTTAACTGAGTAACGTGATTAGGAACAGATGGAATATTTCTCTTGCTATTCTAGTGTGTGTAATACTATTTTCCACATAAATTAATTTTATATATTAATAGGTTGTAAATATGATTAGCTTCATTTTACTACTGAAGAAATTAAGAACCAGACAGGTTAAACAACTTATCTATGGTCAAACAGCTAGCTGGAGCTTGGATGTAAAGTCATATCTGATTTCCAAGCCCGTGTTCCTTTTCCACTATATGACATGGCCACGACTGTGTGTACCTCTATACCTAGAACAGAAATCATCCGTGTACTTATAAAAGCACACATTCACACACACACATACACACACACACACACACACACACACACACACACACACACACACACACACACAACTTCTCTCTCCCTCTCTGTCTCCCTTCCTCTCCTCTCCCCTCATGGGAGGGGTGGGGAGAGAGAAAGAGAAATAAGAGAACTGTAGATGCTAGCTAGGTAGATAGAGCTAGATATACTTGGATTCCTTTCCCTTTTATTTACCACTTAAAAAAAATCCTCACCCCAGGACATGCTCTTATTGATTTTAGAGAGAGA